TTTTTTTATCTTCAAAGCCCTAGTTTTCAAGAAAAGGGGATTTTCTCCTAATTTCTTCTTTGTCTTTGATTTTAAAACTTTAGTGTTGAATATTGTATAACAAAATGATATAGATTACGATCTCTTGCATATTTTCTTGGATTATTCGATTATATGACAAATGTGAAAACAAAATTGGGGATTTTACTATATTTGGGAAATTGTTGTGAATTGTGAGTATTTTTGATTTTCTCATTGTATGATTGTTGTGATGGACTTGGATTACCTTCGAGAGATGCCGTAGAGTGTTAGAGGTTAGTCTATCCCGATGGGGGGTGAGATGGTTGCCTAATGCTCGTAGTGGATCGTTGTTGTGCTCGCGATCACTATTGTTCACATATACACCGAGGAAAAGGGTTAGTATACTAGACACCTTGGGAGGATTTCGTCAATGCCGTAGGAGACGGTACACGCCCTTCCTAAAGAGATTTGTGATTGTTGGTTGGAATTGGTGGACTAGGCATGATCGTTAGGTAGATTCACGAGAAGCAATCAACATACATGGTACGGGGATGAACCAAAAATACATGGAATCGGGAGTTGGGTCGTTCTTGCCGATGCATTGGTATGGGACAATGCTTAGGGAGAAGCCCTTCTTAAATAGCTTAAATTAGAATTTTGTTTATCGATGCTAAACTCACTTTATTCTTTTAACTGATTATTGCTATTGTTTAAACTTGAGATCTCTTTTAAAATGTCACTGTTTTCATTCCAAACCTATATATATGTTAGTTGTGAAATGAGACCGACCGTTTGCTATGTTTTTCAAACCTTGTTTGAGTTGAGAGGATTTTGCTACAGAGCTTCGTGCTCACCCCCTACAAATAAAATTTTTTCAGATTTCACACTTGAGGAGGAGTTAGGAGCCGAGGAGCCCACCCATTGGAAGACTCCGCTTGACGGGGATGTGGATCCCGAGGTGGACGCTTAGAGCGACACTTTTATTTTGTTCTAGACTAGATTATGCTTAGAATATCCTTTTGAACTCTAGTTCATTTCTGTTATTTCCGCTGCGTTATATTATTACATTTTGGAGATGTAAAGGCCAAGATTAGACCTATTAATTTGGGATGATAGTGTGGATATGACATATGATGAATGCAAGTTTATTTTATGATGGAAAAATGGACCCGGTGTGGTCAATAGTTATGCATATGTGGACCCGGTGTGGTCAATTGTAATATAATTGTACAGGTTGTGTTTTGGGTAGAGCTCCCCGTACAAAGGAGACTCTGCCCAAATTTTGTTAAAATATGAATGGTTGATGAATGAAACTTTCGTCGTGATGAATTTTACTTAATGCTCTCATACGGTAAATGGTTTTTAGAATGTAATGTCACCCACGGGGGTTTTTGGGGCGTTACAGATTTTGATGGTTGATATCTTAGAGGACGAGGAGGGTACTTTTACATGCTGGACCATGCTACTTTTACATGCAGGACCATGCTGCAGTAGTGAAATTCCTTCAATACATTTTTTATTCCATTTCCATTCTTGAAAAATCACCTATCATGAGTTCAAGTGAGCGCATTAATATAAGTGGGACCCTCACTGATAAAGTTAGGAATGGCGGGATGGTTGATGCAAGTCTATACTTACTTTTTGAAGCCCCGCCGAGCGAAAGCCCCCCCCCCCCCCTCCCCCTCCCACGATTTAGCTTCTTTTGATGAGGGCCGAGCGAGGGCTGTCCTTAGCTCTGATTCACCACTCCGTAGTAGGTAATCTACAGGAAGAGAAATGGAAGAAAAAGTATTGGAAGAGATCTGATCCTATGACACAAGAATTAACAGTCGCTTACTTTTTGGTAGTTGTCATGGCTAAAGGCAAACCTAAAACATAAGTATATATGGTCTTCATATTTTGGGGAGTATGTTCTTTATAATCTCTTTATTTGAGTCCCATTGCATGATTTACATATGGGTCTATAAATCTTCATGTATCATGTAATGAGTTATCTTTATATGTACCAAATATGCTTAGTCACTTACAATTGTTGGTTGTTTTATCTGAGAAATACTTTCCAGCTAGTCAATTATTTTGTTGTAGATGGTATGCGGCCATCAGATGTTGGGCTAAGTAGGGATCTGCAATTCTTTAAGCCAAAAAGTGCTGTCAACGGAATTCCAAGAGTGACATATACAACTATATACTACTGCGACAATTTTTCGGTGAGAAATGCTTTGTTCTTTTATAAAAGCTTAAATATATTCAAAACCAGATGAAGCAAACCTTATGTTCTACAGAGATCTTGTTTCAACTTATAAACAGCTTGAAAAGTTGTTCTATTTCAGCAGATATTGTTGTTGAACATTACCACTGGTTTTAGTAATCTTTTTTGTTCGAATGATTATTGAGTTTACTTCCACTATGACATTTGCAGCTGTGCATGTTCTTTCTTCCTGCCACTGCTGTCATTCCCCTCCATAACCATCCAGAAATGACTGTTTTTAACAAGCTTCTTCTAGGCACCATGCACATCAAATCGTATGATTGGGTTGATGACGTTGTGGCCGTTTCTCAATGTGAGTCTCTCTCTCTCTCTCTCTCTCTCTCTCTCTCTCTCCATGAGATAGTAATTGACCCTATCAGATGGTTTTACAGTGAGGTTGGCAAGGTTGAAAGCCAACAGTGTATTCACAGCTCCATGCAGCACTTCTGTATTGTATCCAACATCAGGAGGCAATATTCATGCCTTCACGGCTTTAACACCATGTGCAGTGCTTGATGTGCTTGGACCTCCCTATTCTACAGAGGATGGCCGTGATTGCTCATATTACAAAGATACTCCTTGTACTGCTCTATCAAGTAAGACATAAAATCTTATCTACTCTTACTTGGCTTCTGACATACTACAACATTCACACTGAGCTTAGAATGGTCTACAAAATAAGATTTTTTTACCATTGAATTACATGTACCTTTACTGCCAAATTCTTTTAACTACATTCAACAAGCCTTATTTGATACTAGTATAATTGTAATCGTGAAGATTTGAGAAGTATCTCAAGGCAAGTAGTGGTATAATAGCATGCTGGGAGCTGTATTAGGTGCTGCAGCATTAAGTTGGTGGCATTATGTTTGTGGTGCCATCTGAGGTGTTAAAACTTATTTACTTTCATTGCTGGGAAGAGCGTTATATTGGTAGTGCCATCTGAGGTGTCAAATTATTTTTTCTTTTTTACTTTCATGTGGTGGGTATTGGGTTGGGAATCAGCTTCTTTTAAATGGGATAGACTTGGCAAACACTTACTTTTTCTAACCCAATGGTGGGAGCCTTGTCCTGACTTCTTTTTTAGTTGGTGGAGACTGGAATTTAGATGGGGTAAATACCAAATATGCTTAATCTGAAGCATCCCTTTGTTCATTTTGAAGTTAGTCCAGTCATGTATTCCTTGCACATGCTCCAGAGCCTAATAAGGAGCACCGTGGAAGACTTGGAATAGGCACTGCAATTTGAAGTCCCCAATTTCTGCAACGCTGCTTTGTGCAACTGTTGGCGCTGATTTTACTTCTGACCATTTTTTAAGGACATCCCCAACTGTTAGCAAATCCTTGGATAACATTTTCTTAGAATAAATAACCATATTTCGGTTTTATGAAGGAACACATAAGCAGTTGGTTAGGCAAGTACCCTCTGCTTCCAGCTCAGTCAGCAAAAGGGGGTGTGAAATTTGTTGAATGCTATTGTGCGCTGCTTCAATGTCATGCAAAGAACTGTTGGGTAGAAGTTGACCATCAATTGGAGGGATTATAAAAGAAGTTGCACCAAGCTAGAATCAATTGGTTTTGGCATAGTCCACCGGAAAACTAAGTTTTGAGGGGGAAACACATACACCCTGAGGCTTGAAGTTATATGCTGAATTGTTGCGAACTGAATTTACTTTTCAGTTTGTCATTTTCATTTGGTGTTTGTTAAGTTTGTGTTGGAATGTCATTTGAAAATCACCCATCATGTACCCCCTATTGTTGAATCTTTCACTTTTACACTTGCAGATGGAGAGCCCAAGGAAGGGGATGACTCTTTCGGGTGGTTGGAAGAGATTGAAATGCCTGAGGACTCAGAAATGGATGGAATTGAGTACATGGGCCCACAGGTTAATGACACCAGTTCTTTGCTGTCCTGAGGGCCTCCTTTATCCATTTTTCTTCAACACTTTCCTATGTACTTTTGTATTTTTATGTGCATCGCCATATCTGGGTGGACAGATTTTACTTCTTCATTGCTGGTTACATAACGTATTGATACGTTTAAAGGAAAACTAGAAGTATCATATCCTAGTTTTTTTCCCCTTGTTAAATTAACTTCTTTTTTAACCTATTGTGGTTGGGCCTTCCAAGATTTCAACTCATATCGTTTAAAAATGTCAACATAAACCAATGTGTTATTCCATAGTGTACTCATTTGTTTTAATGTTGATTTAGGCCGAAATTGTGTTAGAGTGCATTAGTTTTTTTCTTTTTTTTATTAGAACCCGTAGTTGTTTTATTTAATACGGAATATCTGAGAAGAAGAGGCATTGTAAACTCAAGAGTCTTCTCATGCCGTACAATTAATGAATTAATAAACCTTATATGTTTAGCTAAATTAAAAGTTACTCGATTCCCAGCTGAATAATTGTTGTTTCTGACAAACTAAAATTCAATAATTCTTTGGTCTCTTTCAAAATCACTTCTGACCAATTAATTGCGCCATCCGGATTCATTAGCTTTTTTAAAACTTGCACCGAGTCTTCTTCTAAACCCCTTGTCTCAATACCTTGCTGCCGGAAACACAAAATGGCCTTTCTCATAGCTAAAAACTCGGCATCCAGTGATGATCCACTGGCCTCTAACAACTCTGCAAAACCTGTCTCGAACGTTCCATCATCGTCACATACAACACCTCCTAGACCTATAGATTGGCCTGCTATTAGGATTAACCCACAGAAATTAATCTTAAAAAACCCTGCTTTAGGGAGGTTTCAGACCATTGATATGATTACTCACTATGGACTGCCTTCTCTCAGTCGCCTGGTAATATGAGGCTGTATATTCCCTGGCAGCATTAGCAATTTCAGTAGGGCTCTTCGATCTTCCCGTGTGAATCACTTTATTTCTGTGCTTCTATATCATCCAACAATGGACCAAGAACAGCGCAAACTCCGTTAAGAAGTGATGGATGCCCTTCATTTATTGTAGAGGTTCAATTCCTGATTTGTGAACCATCAGATCTAGGGGTGTTCACCTTACCTTACAGATAAAAAATATGATCTTCCGTCTTCCTACTGATATTTGGCAAAAGAATTTTTTTCTTGGCCTATCCTACCTGATCAAGTGTGGTATTTCTACCCGATTTCCGGCCAAATTAATCTGGTAGAAAATCGGATAAACACTTTTGTAGTTATTAATTTTTGGATCATTATAACAATTCAATTAAATAACATGTATCAAATTAACAACACAATAAACAAATAACACTAAAATCTAAAATAATTACAACAAACAATAAAACACAAAAAAGCATAAACATCAATCCATCAAAATTGTTGTACATATATAATAACAATTATTTTAAGTTAAGGTTGGTGAGACAACGGAAATTAATGGCTATTCCATAATCATATCCGATTTAATCGGAAGAGAAATTCTTCTGCATTCCTACCTGATTTTTTCGACTAGCCGATCAATAAGGTCGGTTAGAATCGGGTAGGATAGAAAATTGAGATTAATCAAAAATTTAAACACCCCTAATCAGACCTATGGTGCTCATTTGCCAAGAAAATGACGCCCATAATCCCTATCTCTCCATCTCTATGTCATACACTACACAAATCATCTGGTTTAATCTTTCTGTTCCATGGATTTGCATTAGTGGACAAGGCATGCAAACAAAATCTCCAGTTAAAAATCTTGGTTTTATTAGGAATCCATTGCCTCCATAAAAAACTCAATTGTCTTCGCCACTGCTGCTTGATGCATTTGAAGTAGAAAGAGCTGCCAGCTGCCTTGGTTAGATTTTGATCCACCGCTACATAATATCCACTTCGCACTGAGAATTCACCATTTCTATTTTAATGCCACATAAGTTTGTCCTCTGCCCAAGCATTCCTCGATGGGATGCCTTTAATGGTTTCTGCTTCATGAGGTAAAAAGATGGAATCCACTAACTGAGATCTCTAGCTTTGCGTCCGAGAATCAATCAGCTCACTCACCATGGCATCGGGAGTTCAAGGTATTTTTATCGACCTGTCTTGCCATATTTTGACCCTTCTACCATCCTCGATTCCCCATCTTGACCCCGCTTCAATTACCTTGCGAGCCTCCAAGATACTTTTCCAAGTATAGGAGGATTGCCTATTGCCTAGCTTTGCATCCATGAACAAACGATGATTGAAAATATCTGCCCCTAGACACTTTATGAAGAAGGGTTATCTTTTTTTATTAATCCTCTGTTGAAGGTGTTAGTGTTGATCGAGTCTTTAGGATTTGTTTCTGTTAGTTGTTTTGAATAATTCATATTCTTTAGGGATAAGTTATTTGTTTTAATTCCTATCACATTAATAGGCTTGAAAAGCGTGGGCTGCAGATTTNCTGCATTCCTACCTGATTTTTTCGACTAGCCGATCAATAAGGTCGGTTAGAATCGGGTAGGATAGAAAATTGCGATTAATCGAAAATTTAAACACCCCTAATCAGACCTATGGTGCTCATTTGCCAAGAAAATGACGCCCATAATCCCTATCTCTCCATCTCTATGTCATACACTACACAAATCATCTGGTTTAATCTTTCTGTTCCATGGATTTGCATTAGTGGACAAGGCATGCAAACAAAATCTCCAGTTACAAATCTTGGTTTTATTAGGAATCCATTGCCTCCATAAAAAACTCAATTGTCTTCGCCACTGCTGCTTGATGCATTTGAAGTAGAAAGAGCTGCCAGCTGCCTTGGTTAGATTTTGATCCACCGCTACATAATATCCACTTCGCACTGAGAATTCACCATTTCTATTTTAATGCCACATAAGTTTGTCCTCTGCCCAAGCATTCCTCGATGGGATGCCTTTAATGGTTTCTGCTTCATGAGGTAAAAAGATGGAATCCACTAACTGAGATCTCTAGCTTTGCGTCCGAGAATCAATCAGCTCACTCACCATGGCATCGGGAGTTCAAGGTATTTTTATCGACCTGTCTTGCCATATTTTGACCCTTCTACCATCCTCGATTCCCCATCTTGACCCCGCTTCAATTACCTTGCGAGCCTCCAAGATACTTTTCCAAGTATAGGAGGATTGCCTATTGCCTAGCTTTGCATCCATGAACAAACGATGATTGAAAATATCTGCCCCTAGACACTTTATGAAGAAGGGTTATCTTTTTTTATTAATCCTCTGTTGAAGGTGTTAGTGTTGATCGAGTCTTTAGGATTTGTTTCTGTTAGTTGTTTTGAATAATTCATATTCTTTAGGGATAAGTTATTTGTTTTAATTCCTATCACATTAATAGGCTTGAAAAGCGTGGGCTGCAGATTTTTCTCTTTTTTGTTATTGTAAGGCTATATATATAGCTAGTCAAGTTGGGTAATTAAAAATAAGAAAACATTCTCCAATTTTCTTTATGTTTACCAAGCAAACAGAGTTCTTAACATCTGGTATCAGAGCCTCATCACAAGGGGCCTGATTGAAATTGAGAAGCAGGACTCTTCTAAGGTGTGTAGTGACGAGAATATGGTGACTGAGAGTGGATTTGTGCAACCAGCGATTTCCAAAATTTGATGGCCATTACAATCACTGGTGCATGCTCATGGAAAAATTCTAGCGCTCGAAAGAATATTGAAGTTTGGTGGAAGATGGGATTCCTGCAACAGCAGAAGGTGTTCAACCCACTAAAGCAGAGAAGAAGGTGATGGATGATGCAAGGTTGAAAGATATGAAGGCAAAGAATTATCTCTTCCAGGCCATAGATCGATCGATTCTGGAGACCATCTTGAACAAAGATATAGCCAAAGGCATTTTGGGATTCCTTGAAGCAAAAGTATCAGGGGACAGCACGAGTGCAAAGAATGCAACGACAAGCTCTCCAAAAGGAGTTTGAGATGCTGAACATGAAGATGGGAGAATTTGTGAACGAGTACTTTGCTCGTACTCTTGCTGTGGTCAACAAGTTGAGGGCCAATAAGGGAAAGATGGACGATGTAGCAGTCATTGAGAAGATTCTGAGATCCATGGCACCCAAGTACGATTACGTGGTGTGTTCTATTGAGGAGTCAAATGATTTGGATGCTCTTACCATTGATGAGTTGCAAAGTAGTCTTTTGGTACATGAGCAACGTATGAAAGCTCATGTTGTGGAAGAGCAAGCATTAAAGGTTACATTTGGAGAGTCTTTAAGAGAAATAGGACGAGGTCGTGGCGGAATTCGAGGACGAGGAAGTGGAAGAGGCAGGCGTAGCTTTGACAAATCNTTATTGTAGAGGTTCAATTCCTGATTTGTGAACCATCAGATCTAGGGGTGTTCACCTTACCTTACAGGTAAAAAATATGATCTTCCGTCTTCCTACTGATATTTGGCAGAAGAATTTTTTTTCTTGGCCTATCCTACCTGATCAAGTGTGGTATTCCTACCCGATTTCCGGCCAAATTAATCGGGTAGAAAATCGGATAAACACTTTTGTAGTTATTAATTTTTGGATCATTATAACAATTCAATTAAATAACATGTACCAAATTAACAACACAATAAACAAATAACACTAAAATCTAAAATAATTACAACAATTACAATAAAACACAAAAAAGCATAAACATCAATCCATCAAAATTGTTGTACATATATAATAACAATTATTTTAAGTTAAGGTTGGTGAGACAACGGAAATTAATGGCTATTCCATAATCATATCCGATTTAATCGGAAGAGAAATTCTTCTGCATTCCTACCTGATTTTTTCGACTAGCCGATCAATAAGGTCGGTTAGAATCGGGTAGGATAGAAAATTGAGATTAATCAAAAATTTAAACACCCCTAATCAGACCTATGGTGCTCATTTGCCAAGAAAATGACGCCCATAATCCCTATCTCTCCATCTCTATGTCATACACTACACAAATCATCTGGTTTAATCTTTCTGTTCCATGGATTTGCATTAGTGGACAAGGCATGCAAACAAAATCTCCAGTTACAAATCTTGGTTTTATTAGGAATCCATTGCCTCCATAAAAAACTCAATTGTCTTCGCCACTGCTGCTTGATGCATTTGAAGTAGAAAGAGCTGCCAGCTGCCTTGGTTAGATTTTGATCCACCGCTACATAATATCCACTTCGCACTGAGAATTCTCCATTTCTATTTTAATGCCACATAAGTTTGT